CTGCAAGTACATAATAAAATAATAATAAAAAAACAAATTACTAATATAAAAGCAGAAAATTACGTCAAAAGTATTATATAATATGGTCCGTATATTTATTCATTATAAGCATCTAGTAATTATAAATTTTTTAAGGAAGAAATACAGGTTTAAGAATTGTTCAAAATTTGACGACTAATTTACAGTTATGAATGTATCGACAAACTATTCTATCATAAACAAATTCTCAAATATTTTCTTATATACTTTGTGTCCATGAATATCTTTAAACTTCTGATTATTATATTATAAATTTTGGATATTGTAACAAAAACAATCCGACATTCGGTAAAATACAAGGAAATTGAGAAGAAAATATGAAAGAGAATAGAGAATAATCTAATGAAGAATAACTATTTCAGATGGTCGATAAAAGAATTGGATCATCAGGTCGGTACAAAATATGTAATATGCAATATGACTTTCGATTAATATATAATAATAAATAATTTCAACCGAAAAATAATTTATTTATGTATTTGCAGTATGATCGGTCAGTTATTCATTCCTATATATAATCTACTCGAAACATTTATTTTACTTTTCTTTTTCTGTCGCATTAACTCTCTCTCTCTCTCTCTCTCTCTCTCTCTCTCTCTCGCATTAACTCTCTCTCTCTCTTCTCCTCGGCAACGTATATGAAATTGTTTAAGATAATTATTTAAGAAAATTTTTTCATTTGAAAGGTAAATGTGACGATGCTTGTGTATCAATAAATATAAATATTATAAAAATAAATATAAATATAAATGTTTATACATTGGAACTGAGTCAGTCAGTTTCGAGAGACAAAGAGGTTCCATACAAAAACTGAATACTCGTAAAATTAATCGGCCTAATTACGCACTCCTTCATTTCTATAAAAGCTAAAACCCTTTATATTAAATCCACTTGCTATGTAGCAATTCATATAAAAGCCTGTATGTTCACTATATTCACATACAATATATATTTATAATTTTTAATATATTTAGAAACTGTTTGATCATCAATTGATGATTACATTTCATCTCATGCTATAGAATAATACTTTCAGAATAACGTAGTATCCAGAATTTAATGTAATATTAAATTAAATTCATTTTTATATATTTATAATAATTTACAATAATTAAAATTCAAGCAACGATTAAATTAAAGTTCATATTAGATAACGAATAAAAAATATCTCTAAAAGTAATTAATATCGCTTACTAAAAAATTTACACTACCTAATATTCCTATATAATATTTTATGTTTAGTGGTGGTAATGCGCTGAATGGTTAAGTATATCGTATATGATACAAAGATAGTAAGCTCGTTTGCAAATTGTAAAATTTTTAATTTAAGTAAAAATTTATCATAAAAATTTCAGACGACAAACACTTTTTATCAAACAATATTTAATATATCTATTTAATACTGATCTTATCAACAATTTTTATTTTAAATTGTTTACGATGCAATAATTTTTCACATGCTGATCTATCAATGCAAATTTAATATGGTTGAACAATCGGTAAAAAGGTATCCCAAAGCAAGTGCAAAACAGTATCCTAAATAATTTAGATCATCTCAAAGGATAACGTAAATACAAGTCAATAAATGATCAGTGATAAATACACGGGCAATTATAAATAAGTACGAATTGAGAATATGATATAGGTCATCTTTTGTCGTGAAAATAACATAATTTATAAGGAGAATTAAGAATTATGGTTCATCACCCCTGTACTCCCCCTTGCTTTTCGTCGTCGTGACTGGGCGAGCAGGAAACTAAGGGGTTACTTCCAAGTTCGACGAAACTATTCATCAGCGCCAAAGCCACCTTGCCTTCCCAGCAAAAGTATGTTATCTGCGGATTCCCCGTGCTTCGGCCTCTAATTAATTTACAAGTTGCGCAGTGTCTACCCTAGAACGTGCGTCAGTGCCTGTGAGCTGCCAGTTCTCCTTATGCACTGAGACTAGGGTCGGGTTCACATTAAACGATTACCGTTCTTAAATGAAGTCATTTATGTGTAATAAATGCGAGCTGACGGCACCTCATACAACTACTGAACCATCTCTACTGACAACTCTACCGAGATCACCTTTGTTCATCCCAGTCATATGCATAGATATTTTCACCTACTTCTCTCTCTGTTTCTTTCAACTTTGATATAATTATTTATCTATTGATAATAAATTGAAAATATGTTTGGCTAATTTTATACTAACTTAAAAAACATTAATTATTCTGCCATAAATATTGATAGAACTTCCAATAACACTGTACTAATCTTTTATTTTTTCAATTTTAAGGCCCGACATAATGTGTGCATATGTAATAAAATACATACGTAAATATAGTCGAATGATATTTTTCACTATCGTATTTGTGATTATAAATAATATAATCTTGTAGATAATCTTGTTCACAGTATATACGTAAAAATTCATCATTTGTAAAAAATCTTGATCTAAAAAACAGGATGATTCAAATTAGTTTCAAAATCTCCTACAATGTTATTTTTGCTATTTACCTTTGTTTTAAGGCAACTCTTTACTAATTTTTTTGCTATTATTCTTTACACCTAATATGATATAAATATGTCTCTTTTTGTACATATAAATTGCCGTAAGCATGCCCTCCAAAGCTCTCCCACTGCTAAGATTATAAACAATCCAAGCGAATCAGAGCAAACCACGTAAAGGTTATAAGCGTACATTATCTTACTTGGATCATGATAAGCGAGTGCCATGAACAGATCTCGTCGGTAATCGTAGTAAGGCTTGGTGCTCAAACTTTACGTAGTCGAGTCATAGACAGGACTAAAGCCATAACAAGTGTTCACTCATACAGGCACGCCGACTGAATGTACCATATTTGTGTGATAAGAAGAACACTACATAGAGTTGCAGCTGAATTCACTAGGAACAATTTGCATCCAGTCAAGGACGACTTCTATAGAAGTCGACATCCACTAGAACCAAAGCTTATTCCAACCAGATTCAAGGGTCCTTAAATGAAGACATGTTCCATAGTTTCCTGAATTCCATTTTGTACTGCTTTCTTCTTTGCTACTTTATCGCAAGGTCAAAGGACAAATACAAAAAATAATGTTCGAAAAATTTTAAAATATTCATCATTAATAATGTATTCTGATTATTATCATATCCAGTTTTAAACTATTATAGTTTATTCAAATACTTTTTAATTATACAATCATATTAAATACTGCAGAAAAATAGATATAATATTATACTGATATTATTTTAAAAACATACTTTAACAATGAAAGAAAATAAAAAAAAAATTATTTTATAATATTAAATTCTTGAAAAAAATTCATAATCTTAATTCTTAATTTAGTCTATGTAAATATTGTAACACATTTAATCTACAAGATATTTTACTTATTTTACTACTAATATCGAATAATTGCTTCTATGCCTCGCATATATATATATATATATAGGAAATGCAATTAATAAAGTTATAAAATATTTGATAACATTTTAATAATATTATATGTAATTCTATCTACCTTTTTATTTATGTTAATAAGATTTAATTGTATTTGCGTAATTCTTTACGTTAAATAATCTATATAATTAAAAATGAAAAATTATATTATAATCGACAATTTTCTTATATAAACATCATAGTTTATTTATAAAAATTTTCAAATATGTCTAAATTAAATAAAATATAAATAAAATTACATTTTATACTAAATATTATAATTACACATTTTTTTATTCATATTGTTAATGCTCTTACTATGGATATATGCTATTTTTTACAAATAAAACAATTTAGTAAATATTAAAAGAATCTTGGTAAATTTTAAATCGGCAAAGTAACAAGTAAATAAACAAATTCTCCAGAATTGTAAAAATCATTTCATAAGCAGATTATAGAATACTCTACAAAACATATATACATATATATATATACATATATATATACAGAAAATAATGTGGAATTTTAATAAAATTAAATATTTATGATAGCGAGGAGTTTAATTAAAATATTAGTTTAAAGTCTAATTTTCTATAAAAACTTAAATTTAATCAAATAAATTTAATTAAACGTTTAATAATAACAAAATTTAAAAGATTTTTTATTATTCGATTCAATATTATGTTCAGTACCAATATTTCATCAGTTAATAGATTATACTAATTAAAGTTTTTCTGAAAAATAAATACTATATATATATTTATTAATTGCTTTTTATTAACTCCACCAATCATAAACTTCGAGTAATTTCACTAAGTTATATTATCAAAATTTTATGATAAAAAAACACATTTAATATATCATTTCCTCATTACTAATAATTCGTATTAAAATAGTAGCTCCTAAAATCTAATTTCTATATAAGTTTTTTTAATTTAATCACAGCTATTGTAATAATTAGTATTCAAAAAACACAAAAGAATATTCCTAAAATATCTTTATCTTTGTATGTGAATAAATTATTTCAAATTTTTTATATCATCGACATCAATTAAACTTTGTAAAATGTAAATAAGAAAAACAAAAGATATCTTTTAAATTATTTTGTAATGCTATTAAAGCTCAATTGTTTATTTATTCTCACGGCTTGTAAGGTACATACTTGTATATATACATGTATATATATATATATATATACATAAATCCATATAAAAATCTGAGCCAGGTAATGATCACACCATCATTTTAAAAAACGTGATTTATTTTTCATTCATTTTTTTTTCTATTAAATGCAACGATCCAATTTTTTATAAATATGTTATTTACCTTAAACTATTTATTTAATATATTTATAATTTGGTTACGACAGTAATATAATTCTCCGTTACATCCTCATCTCTCGCTCTCTCTCTCTCTTTTTCTTTATGTTTCTCGTTCGTTATGTCGCTTTGTTTCTTCCATCTTCGAAGGCAATGTTTTTCTTGTTTTTTTTTATGCTGTCTCTTCTGTATTTCCAGTTTCCTTCTTTTCTTTTTCTATTACTTCGTCTCATCCTTCATCAATCTACGTGTACAACAATTAGCATTCAATTGTTATTGAAATATTAAAACTGCAATATGTTAAATGAACTTATCGTTAATCCAGAACTAAAAATGTTACCATATTACAAATCAGTAGTAGTTACATATTTCCATGGTATAGAATAAAAATTAAAAATATATTTAATATATTTAAAGCTTTTCTTTTGATTACAATAATATTGATCGAAAATGCTAAAAACTATTTATCCTATAAAAATATAATATGAAATAAATTTTTATTTTAATTTTTGTTATTATCATTAATAAAACAATAATGAAATTATTAGATCTTAAAAATTGTTTATTTCAAACAAATCCGTAAAAGTATTAGTTAAAGAACACATGGTTAATAAGAATTATGCTAGTTGGCTCGAAATTATGTACTATATTTCCTTTAATAAAAATACGCTTATTTTCACAGTAAAAATAGCATGCCCAACGATACTATTTATTAAACGTCCTTAAATAGAATTGTTACACAATACCTATATATGTCTTATGTTTTTTTCTATATTGTTATAATATAGTACAATAAACGTTATAAAATATAAAATAACTGGGTGCGTCCAATAATTTATGTTTCACAAAAGCGAACAATAGAAAACATTTTGCTTAGTAAAACTCTTGGCTTATATTAAAAAATTTGTTTTATCGTATAAAGTTTAACTTTTAACATAATTATTATGTAGTGAATATTTCTTGTACTGCATAAATGAACATAATTATTCAATAATACATTTTAATACAATAGTTACAATGTTATTCGGTTTATAATATGTGTCATATTCAGTAACTTTGCACATAAATGACTTTATTATATTTTCAATGTAATTTATAATAAAAGTTCACATTCATAAAATATTACAAAACATTTAAAAAATAAATTTCTTTATATTAATGAATTATAAAAATGCTTTACATACATAAAAGATAGTTTTATTCTAAAAAAATATATTATTTTAAAATAGTAAATGATGCGTAATGATAAATAATAAACATTGATACAAATTTCAATTGTTCCTACAATTTTCTTGTCAAATAATTTTAAAAATATAAGAAATATTATTAATCACTTTTATTATATCTGCATTAGATAGTGTTACATTTTTTGTCACATATAACACTATGATCGGATGAATATACATATACATATATGACAATATTCTGCATATATACCTTTACAGAAATTTCCCTTTTCATTTTTCTTGGAGTAATTTGTAATGTAATACTGGTTTTTACCATGGTTCACTGCCATGACTTCGGTTTCTTTTTTATAATGTTACCTTATCACATAACATTGCTTCCTTCATGTATTTGTAAATCACTTTCTTACTCAGGTTTGAAGTTCCTCATGATTTCTACAAAATTACCGCAATTTTTGCAATTCATTAATCTTTACAAATATCTACAGATATATATATATCTAAAATATTTTATTCATTAATAACAATTTGAAAAATTCTAGGCTTTTTTATTTTAGTACTATTTTTTACTTTTGTTCTTATTTTGAAACAGACATGCTGTGCTTCACTTAATTCATTTACCAAACTGATAATTTTCATTAACTCTGTCGACAACAATACTAATAAGTCATAATTTCTATATCAACCAAGAATTGAATCTTATAATGTAAAAGTTTAAAATATTTAAATTTAGATATAAAACCTGAAGTTCATTCTCTCGAAATAGAAATCAAAATAAAGAATAGATTAAAATTCATTCATTATATCTGCCTTTCTCCTAATGCAATTTTCAATCATCACCAACATTATTATCTATGTTAATCTGTTCTTTTAATTTATTTTTGCTACTTATCGTTTCTGTACAATTCTTCATCCGAATGATACCTCGTACATTGTTCGATTCATAAAACTCGAGTCTCTATTATGTCTTTCTTACAAACTGGTATTTCTAATATAATATTATGACAATTTGTTTTGTTATTGTATGAATGTAATATTCTAAATTTATAAAATTTGTGTAGAAATAAATCATTGATATTTATTATCTACTTTTAAATAGACAAAAGTTAACTTTTGCTTTTACATTCTCTTACTATAATTTTTTGTTTATACATTTATTCCTTTCTTTATAAGTCGTCGTAGTTCTTTCTACTTGTATTACTCTCTCTCTCTCTCTCTCTCTCAATATCTCCATCTCTCTACAGCTCATGCTGACTGTTCTTTTCTTTCATTTATTTTCAGCTTTCAAATGTTGCACTAAGTTGAGTCCTTACTATATTTCACGCTCCCCTGAAATGAGTATTGCATTTTTTGTTCGTAGAATTAAAAAAAAAAAATATATATATATATATTTAGTGTAATCAAAATGTGGTTAGAGTCATCTATGTTATTCCTATAAATGGCAACATGGAAGAAATTCGAGTGTATGAATGATTTCGAAAAATATATTATTCAAATAGAAATATATGTACTAAACTTATTTTGTTCATTTGCACTTCACCTCGTCATTTTTTTTAATTTTTCAACTGTTTATATCAAAAATAAAAATTTTCTATTATTATAAACTATTCTGAATTTAAATAAGTATTTGTTATTGCTCTTTACAAATTTTTTATAGAAACTGATATAATTATTAATTTTATTAACTGGGATCTATTTAATTTAATCCAATGTACAACTGAATATAATCAACTTAAAAATTTACTTAAAAATAACCAAATAATATAAAGAAAACTGAGATTTTAAAATATTAATTTCTGGGATCAGACTTAAAAACCTCCCGGTGATGTTAGGTGGAGATATTTGCTGGCAAGTGGAGGAGGCATATGCAATTATTCAATTCGATACACAGTGTATATTGGTTTTTCCTTTATTAAATACAATAATATGATTATAATTAATGGTTTTAGACATGTATGAATGGTAATTATAAGTGACTTAAGTCTATGAAGTTTCTTCAGTAATTTTACGTGCTGATGAGATTGTGTACTCTCAGAAGCATGAGGTGTGAATCTCTACTTCCTTAAGGAGTATTATGTTTTCGTCGTAAGGAATGTGCGTAACAGCCGTTGTGTAGCCGTTGCTAAATTTACGTGTGCGTGATGAGCCACCGTTTGTGTATCTATGTTGAGATACGTTAATATATGTTGGTATTATATCTTCGTCAATTTCACTCTTTAATTACGCTTGGCACTAGAGCTCCTTGAATATAACACTTGACGGATTATAATTGTTGTGGCTTCGCTATTGGTTTATTAGATTGATTGTTAATTGATGATAAAGTACTTGTATAGCTACAGTGGTGAGAACTGTTGGTTGAATGTTCGAAAAGAAAAACAGTGAGCCCATCGTGGTGACTGAGTAAATGTTAATAGTACAGTGCACAACGCGTGATGAGCTCCTCTTAAATATTCACGTAGCAGTTTGCGACGCCGGTAGCAGCGCCGATGCCTGTAGCTATGCCGAATTTTGTCGTGACGTCAGAGAACAAAACTCTGGAATGTTATAGAAGCGTCGAAGGATACAGCCTTGGAAGGTTCTAGAAGCTTTATCGGCGTTGCTATGCGGAAATATTGTCGTATATTAGAATTTAAAGCGTAGGAAAATTCCCGGATTTGCTGAATCGTGTTTACAAACATGAGTGTCCGAGAGCTTGTACATTTCCCAATTTTAAATTGTGCTTAAACTGCTTTAATCTCGAACATTTCGCCCGCCATTATCAATTCATTTGATGATTAGATTTCCTTTTTGTTGGGAGGGGGGAGGGTTGGCATGTGACGGTAGCATGCACTTTGTTTGGATGTAGGAGGATGTAAGGCTCCTAATTATCGTGACGTGGTATGGTCTGTTGTTGCTTCATGCGCTTGGACATAAACAGTTTCTATTAAAGTTGGGATAAAAAATGTATGGAATTGAAGAGGCGTCGCAGTCTTCTCGCGTTACGCTAGCTAAGATTGCCTTGGGCTCTTGTTGGCTGGTGTATCATACATCATAGATTTTTTTAATCTATCGTCACTGCAATTGATAATTGTTGGTTATGGTCTGCCTTAAAGTAGAAGAGCTTCTCATCTTGTTAAGTGCCATGAGTCCAATGGGAGCCGCCTGCCATGCCATGGTTCTGCAGTTGCATATGCAGTGATTGACTGCTAGAAATGTGATAGCTCTTGTACCATATATACTCGAGTTTTATTTTCATTATTCAACACATATTTAAAGGAATCATTTTGATTGTCATTACATTTTGAACAAGTTAATGAAGTAGTTATTAAATTGTTATTTTTAGCTCTTATTTTATCTAAGATATCCGGTGGAATGCCTGTGTTCGAGATTGCGAGAAAAGTTTCTTGCCTCGACTTTTCACGGTCGCTGGACACTCGAGACGGTCAATACATCTGGAAAACTCCAGTGAATATTTAGCTTATTTATTCTTGCTTATCTAAAAACGTGCTCATGCTTTTCCGGTGCAGTAAAAACTAATATGTTGTTTACTGTTAAGACGACATAGATTCTGATAGAGTATCAGATATACGTAAAATATCAAGTACTTACATTTCCTAAATTTCACTGCAACCCAAAACCCCGCACGTGCGACAACAAGCAATAGGCGTACGTGCGCACACGGCTTTTTAAGACAATGCTTGCCTTATTCTTAACTACGCCGCATCTAGTCGATGGCATTGGAAGATCGACCACGCCTAAGAGGACCCTTCATCTAGCCATGTCCCAGAGAAGGAAGAGGCGATCAAGGAGAGGCGACCAATAGTAAAAGCTCCCCAATTTCCGACACTTTGCCGATTAGCATATTCGGGACTGCGCCCGGAAGGAAGTAGAAATGAAGGCGTGCATAATCCATTGTGCTTACCAAGGTCAACCACTGATTGAATAATTGAAAGAAGAAGGGGTCCCAAGTGGAACTGGGTCAGTGAATTATTTAAGAAGGGCAATGTAATATACCACCGCTTACTCTTATTCCTATTCTTATTCTTCTACTGAGTGAAAGGTAAAGTCACGACTTAGTCTC